AACAAACAAGTAGAAAAAGTCAAACAGTATTTCACTGCACGAGATGATAAGAAATACTATATACTGACTGCGCTTTCGGAGGTATTTGTCCTTTACTAAAATAACGCTTGCTACAGTGTTAATAAGTATTGAAATACACAGTATAGCCCCAATAAATGGGAAAATATAAACTCCTGTTCCTCCAAAAGGATCATCAAAAGTCACATCACTAACTATATCCGAGTACGAGGAATTCAGTGCGACCATTTTGAAGACACACAAAAAATGTTACTTCAATTTCTTCAACTGTTATTGGTAAGATAAACTCGCACTTTATTTCCGTACATGCAGGTTCTACTATTCTATACTAACTAGTTTGTCGATCTTATAGGTTTTAAAGCAGTGGTGAAGCATATACTTTTTATAGGATTATTGATTTGTGTCTGTCAAATGTCATTTGATGAGCTTTTTATGATATATCTGTGGGGATGTTCGAAAACTGAGTGTCCATATAAATAGATATTTACAATTCACATGATACAGGGTCAAGACAATTTCGGGCAAGATGGAATCGATTTGTCAAAGAAAAAACATCATGCCACTCGTTCCTCTATTCCCTGTGCGAAAAATAACATAGTTATAGTTCTATTGATATATATACAAGGTCTCTTTTTAACCGATATTTAAGATACAAATTTCATTGTCATTTTTGCATCTTGAATATTCATTAATGTAATCTATTCTATATCAAATAAACTACCAGTTTTTAAAATAAAAAGTTAGACAATAAAAAGTACATATACAGTACGAGAAACAGTTTAATATAAAAGTGAAGTTAGACTACCATTTTTAATGTTACTTTGTACATGTAAGTTTCACATTTTCTTGAGAGAGTTGATTAAAAAGCAAGGGAAAGGTGAAAAAAACAAAAAAAAAAAAAAACAATTTACAATAATTTTACCTTAAAAATCGCAAATATTCGTGAAAGAAAATATGAGTCTAAATATTTCATTTTATTTCACTAGGTTTTTGGTATAATGGCATCAAACGTGCAGCTGTGAAATGAATCTTTTACAGGTAGGATGAAGCTCGATATCATGTTTGTATATTATACCTTGCTGACGACTAGGCAAGAAGTACCAATATCAGAATGAAATATCAACACTTAGTATATGCTTGTATATGTTCCCCCATTTTGAACTCGCGATCGAGGCTAAAATTTTAGCCAATGAAAATTGACAATAATAAGTATATTAAGTTCTATAAAAAATGTTCAAATGCGTCGTTTTTATTCTTTTGACAAATTTTACCTCCATTTGAGATGCAAAACCTACTTTGCAAAAATTATCATTTTCTTGTTGCTTACGTTATGGATTGTATCAAATGCCATTGCTAATGGGTTCTTATTTAATATTAAGAACAAATCCAAAACCATGTTACGGAAATGGACAGATCTTGAGAACATTATGTGCCCAATTGTTTTTAATTGATTTTAAAAGACATCCATGAAAATTGGAGTGTATAATTCATACAAAACGATTGGTTACAAGTTCTTTCACTTATAAAAACAAAAAAATCATTGCAATCTTAGGAATTAAATGATGAAGACTCTTTACCGTAAAGTGATACTTTCTTATGTCTATAATTTTTCAAGATATCACTGCTTCCTTCCACAAATACTCATCAAGATTATTTTTGCGAAACCCTTTCACCACAATGATATCCATTACATTTGTGTAGATGTCCCAGAAACTTAAATATGTGAAAAATCATTATCCCTACATAAGTATTTTTGGATGAAAACCCAGTATTGGCTGTAAAAAATGGTCAAGGAGACAAATAAACTATGACTCGATTTTGTTTATGTAATAATTGCAGGATGGAAATATTTTGTTTAGAAAAAAGTCAGAGTGTTGTCCGAAATTTTGTTAAATTTAAGCCAGGATTTTGTAGCCCTTTTGTTATTGCATTTTATTTATATAATGTTTGCATGAAAATATTTCTGAAATTACTTTTGAAAACGAAATATTTCTGTCTTATTTGAATAAATTCTCATAAATAAACATTAGAATTCACAATCTAGTACATCCATTCAAACAATATAATTCATGGACAAAGAAAACACTGATCTCTAAAACATCAGAGATGGGATTGCGTGTTGTGGATAGGTACTTAATGTTCTGCTCATCGGAACAATCCTTTATATTGAACTGAAATAGACTTCACGTTTGATAACACGATTATCAGATTTTAAGTTAAAACTTGAAATTGAATTGTTTCAAGGACCGTTTTACTATGGACACACTACATTATATAACTATATAAAACGAAAGAGACCCTTTTCCAAAGAAATTTTTTTTCATTGACAGTAAAGAGCCAAGTATGTTAGTAAGAAAAATCGGCCTTTTTTTTTAAAATTGAAAATAATTATATAAATATGACTTCAGGATGTACACTTCATAAATATATTAACAATTTTCATCTATCTTTTATAGGTAAGTTGAAATGACCCTCTGAAGATGGGGTGTATTTTATTGCATTTTACTGATTTGAGCACTGTGACGTCATTTTTACCATCAATTAAAAACATTTTAATAACAAGTTTAATGTTTCAATATATGTTATAGGTAAAAAAAATTGATATTTAACTGTTTAAATTATATTGTTTATTTACCTTAAAAATAATACTGCGCAAAAAGAATGTTTTAAAGAACAAATGACTTCCAATATCTCTGTATATCTGAATATCATAATTGCAGTCAATTCTTTGCATAATTTGCAGTCTATTTTTCTCCTCAAATTAGTTCATTTTTTTCAGTAATGTTTAAATCATAGATTATGATTGCTAAAAGATCCTTAAAATGCAGTTTTTAAAGGATCTTTAAAAATAAATGAGGAAATATCACTTTCTAAAGCATTTATTCTGACCTTTTTGCACTTAAGTTAAAAATACAATGTCACAAAGCAACAAACCACCCTTTTGAGGTAAAATAATACAATTTAAAACAATATTAGGTACTCTTTAAAAGATAACGATGTACAGCAAAATATAAAGAAATTATTTGAGCAGGATATAATGATATTAATGACAAATAAGCATTTCTTTTGGTTTATGAACACTTTGCACATTAACTTGACATTTGAATGTGCACCACTGACAAAGAATTAATTGAAACATTTTCCTAACTTACCAAAAGGAAACTTGCAAAGCTGTACAAAACAACTGACGTAAATTCGCATAAAAATACAATTTTATTTCTTTTGAGAAAAATATATATCTTCTAAAACTTTGTAAAATATGAGATGACTTGCTTTTGTTGTTTTATTTTAAAGATTGAAAAATGTCAAACTGTTCAAATTGTAGCTGTACATACAAATCATCATTTCAAATATAAAACAAGTTCTGATCCATTAATATGAGTTCAACTATAAAAACATCAAATACAGAAACAGTTTGCAATGTCTTTCTATTTTTTGGCTCTGAAGATTTAAAATTATTACATATTTAGCAAACTATATGAAAACATTATAAACAAAAATATCGGGAAAAAAAGATTACATGCCTATAACTGCATCGGACATAACACTCACACTGTTCAAGGAACTATATATGAAATAATTAACATTTTTATACATTTTGATAAGGGACACAAGAAAAAGTTCCAATAAACCTGTCAATCTAAATGAATAATACATAATTTGAAAACACACAATCAATAAGTTGAAGCTTTCTTGTCTTTATTCCTCAGTGGCCTCAGTTTCACTGTCACTCTCATCAACTATCTCTGGAATGTCCGCTGCATCACATACATTGTCTAGCCAGTTCTTGCCTAATTCAAGGTTGATCACATCAGAGTATCTAGCAAAGGACAAGTACCAAATAACACTGGCAATGTGTGCACAAGTTCCAACTACTCGCGCTCCTGACTTACAACGGCAATACCAAGAGGTCACGACACCATCCTCAAACCTAATCCAGCACAGATAGCATTTGCTTGAGATATGTCTACTTTGGATCTTGGCAGCAAGGAGGCCTGGCTTGAACTGATCAACCCATATCTCAAATCCATCCTGGTTCACATGTTCCTGGGTGTAAAATTCTGCCAATTGAATTTGATACACACCAAGAGTCAATTCCCGAATTTCTTCTTCTGTGTACTTTGGAAATTCAGTAATGGTGGTCTCCTCATCATCAATCTTCCTCCAACTATATCGCTTCTTTGCTAGATTTTCTGACTCTACCTCTGTCTGCAGCCGATTTGTCTGGGTAGAGAGGTATTGCATCTTTGTTGCAATCTGTAAATCATTCTCTTCATCTCCACTGCTTAGAGGGGGCCTAAAACAATTTTTTAAGAATAATTACAATGTATTTTTAATTGAATTTTTCATAATAGAAATTAAGAACTTGTTCAGGCTGTTGCAAAGTGTTTGAATTTTACCTATGAAGTTTACCTGTATTTGTTGCAGATTGCACTTATTATTCGCACATAGTCACCAACATATGAGATCTGGGAATTAGGGAGTTGTCTTGCCAAGTACCGCCATGTTTTAATTCTCGCATTTACTGATTCTACCACCCATCTTATCTGTTATAGGAAAAAGAACAAGGTACGGTACGGTATTGGCCGTAAATTGCCATATTTCAAATTTGGTCCCTTCAAACATTTTAAAAAGCTAACGATTTTTGAAAATAAATGCTATATAATTCACATATATCATTCAAATCTATAAATTTCAAAAATAATATTTGATAATGTACCTGTTTTAGCAGAACGTCGAAATTTTATTTAACATTCAGACGCGACATCACAAGTTAACCCTGCTAGGCGTCATCTGAAATTTCAAACGTGCACTCCAGAACTGCAATATAAGGTAAGTAATTGTCGATGTAAACATGTTGGTGTTTTAATATATACATCTACTTTTTTTCTTTAGTATTTAATATTTTTATCTATTTATCCTTCAAAAGAGTATCTTAGCTTTAGTCGATTTCGTAAAAACGAAAGTCTAACAGAATTATAGTGAAAAAAGGGAAAACGTACGATAGCAATGGTAATCGTTTTAAGCCCAAAAACAATATAAACTATTTTTGCTAAAAAAATTGAAAAAGAAATCTCTACATTGGATCTAGGGAGAGGGTTGAAAATAAGAAGTTTCAACGACAAAGAATTCAACGATTTTTTCCCCCTTTTCCCCTAGGAAATACAGCACCTTTATCGTAATAGCCTCTTGTTTTTTACCCATGACAATAAAAAATAAATTGTATTTGGTTAAGGTACCTAAACCTAATAAAGTAGGTACTGGTTTGCATGTACTATCTTCACTTTTATTTTAGGGTTAAGTGATTGTGTTACCAATGTACTTTTGCTTGGAATTAATGATCAATTTGCAGAGTTGTATGTTACATTTTCTATGATATCAAGAATTAGATGTACTCTAAGTACCTTTTAAAAGCGTATATTTTCCTATATACATTAGTTGTACAAGCTAATGATCATTTTTAAGAATATTTTTTTTACAATGTGTCTATTAAAGAAGCCTAGCCATCACCACGGATGATACATGTATCTCTTTATTAACATGGTGTCCAATGAAGAGGTGTTAAATCCTCATCAGATAACGAGCATTGACCAATGTGACAAAAAATCTAAGAACAATGCTATGTGTAAAGAGGGGATGTATAAGGTTACTTATAAAAATATCATCACAATATTTACAAGACCTTCTATAAAAAAACTAGTACTTTGTGATAGAACATCCCACGTGTTGATCATTTCCTGCAGGCATGAGGTAATAGTAATCGAGTAATCGTAATCGATTGTAATGATTACTTTTTTTTTTCAAGTAATCGACAGTAATCTGTAATCGAAGATATTTTCGATTACTTATAATCGTAATTCAGTCGATTACAGCTAAAATTTCCAATGTAATTTTCGATTACTTTCAATAACTAAATATACATATACATATTCCTATTCTTGAATGTTAACATGGTTAATTTGGAGAATCATTTCCAGTTAGTCACACATGAATATTGTATACAAACAACACAGTGATACATGTATATGTTGATTTCCTATTTTTTATAATCATAACTTGAATAATGTTCACAATAAAATTTGCACTTTAGCCATACTGGTCTAGTCTTTTTCATATTTCAGATGTTGATAAAATTTGTCTTCTAACAGAAAATAGTATACATATATAGCAAAAATAGATGTGAATGCTTTTATACAAATTCAAATTATTTGAAATATAACTTCATTGTACTAGCTAGGACCTACCCAGTTGAAAAAATAAGAGGAAAATGCTTATCATAGTTGCTAGTGTTTCAAATTTGCAAAATTATTTCCATGTTTTCATTCAAAATTTACTTGTTTTGTCAATGAGTGTCTGTATTTAAAGAGTGGGGGTATTAAGTGTCACTGTGTTGATCTTGGCTAATCGGCTGGGACATCACATTTAAAGCGTTCATCTCAAATTATTACTAACCATGTGTTCCTAACATATTCTTTCACTGTTTCCACTACAAAGCATCCCTTATAATTGTTGTTGATAGCCCTCCTGTCCCTGATATTGAAGTGATTGAAAATTTGGTCTATTTGTATTGCCATTTTGGTTAGCAAGATAATTCGAACCAACGCGCATCGTGCAGATGTCAACTACGAGATGACCTGATAGAGGAGTAAGAAATTTCTTGAAATCAAACTCTTTCGCAAATGAGGTAAGAATTAAGAAGAATTAATCCATAACCGAGCGCACTTTTTTTGCGCAATAAATATACGGTTTTTAAAATGGGTGGCACTGTAGCTCTCCGGTCTGTCGATATATATTTTACGGAGAGCTACAGCTTTGCAGCTAGCAATCTCATGGACCAATTAATAGCTATCAAAACAATAATTTCAACACAGAAAGAAATTGTGCCATTAGTAATATTTAAATGTACATTGAGTTTACATGTTCATTGATAAGAGTTCTCATTGATTAATTTTTTTCTAAATGATTAAAACACAGGGAAAGAAATATTATGTGTACTGCCAACATGCAGAATGTCCAAATACATGTACTTGTAAAATATTAAATCATTTCTGCAACAATCAAAAGTTATAAGATAATACGTAGCTTCAAATCAAAACTGTATGAATGCATTCAAATTCAGAGGATATCATCAACATTACTGCGTAATATTTAAATATTTTTTCTGCTTTGATATTTGAGGGTGGAAGATAATTGAAAGTAATCGATTACAATCGATTACAGGACAAAACTGACTGTAATCGATTATAAATCGATTACACAAAATTCCTCAATGTAATCAATTATTTATCGATTACATTTTTCAGTAATCGTGCCCATGCCTGATTTCCTGTTATTTGTACCTGGTTTTTCTTATTACCGAATACATGTAGCGTGAATTTGTTCACAATGTATTCCATTTTATGTAAGGCGAGCCTAGCAACTATTTATCTTTCTTTATTCTTTATATTTTAAAAACACCAATGAATCTGAACATTTGTTTCTTATTTGGATGTTTCACTAGATATAGACGATAAAGGAAAACTTTAAACTTTACTGCATAACAAACGAGGAGACTTTAGCTATATCATCGTCAATTATGCTTATTATGCTGTCCCTTTAAGATACAAAATGTTGCCCAAATATTCAATAAAAAGCGTTGAGAAAGATTTCACTTTTTTATATCAGAACAATCTTCTATTAGATAAATAAGTTGATGCCATCGTCTTCTTTAAAATTAAGCATTTCGTATAATCTTTGATCTTAAAATGTCCTTCATAAAATCTGTCATTCAATTTTATTCTGACCGACAAATTTTATATCAGTTATTAAGCCTTTTTTCCAAATAATTTAACTACGGAACATTTCTTCTATCTGATCAATACATAGAGTAAATTGTAGTTTAGACCTATTGACAAGGGACCCCTCCACCTCACCACCACCACCACCAACACATATCTACCCATCAGGTGAACGGAACTTTTTTGTGATCAAATTAAGTATAAAAAAATAAAAGTCTCACAAATTGAGACAAGTAACCAAAGTACGACCTTATAATATGTGATATTTGCTTACAAGTTTATTATTTCAACCACTGAACTTTAAAAAATGACGATTTTTAATGGAGGGCTGCAAATTGATACCTGTACTCGGTACTAGCAGCCTTTGAATAGTTTTGTGATATTTTTTGTGCTTACTCCAATACATTATCTCAATTCATGACTTATATGGAGATAACAAACAATATGTAAGCTCAAAAGTTCATTAAAGAATACAAAATAGGAGTAGTGCAAATACGGACCTTAAAGACACCAGAGATTGGATCTGGTGTAATGAAGGAGTGAGTATTGCCTCTGCCGACCGGTCACACCCGCCGTGTGCTCCTTCTCATGATCAGAAAATAACGTAAAAATCTGGATCGTAGTCAATTCAATGTGTATATAATATATAATGGCCTAACAATTAGTATGCAAAGTCTAAAAAAAAAGCTACAGCGTAAGGATTGACTCCTTAATCCTCCAATCTACAGCAAACGTTCTGACCACCGCTTAATGGCGATATTCGCGGTTTTGATGTGAATGATCTATATAAGGGAAGAAAATACCTGTACACAGAAAAAAACATCTGGACGGAAATTATCATTCTGAAATGCACAGGTGTGAATCAACAATTTGTGAAATTTAATTCTTTTAGTCATACATATATAATGACAGCAAGGAAGAAAATAATTGTTGACAGCCAAAAATAATGGTGTTAAGTGTTACATATAAGATTTAATTTTTTTCCCGAGAATTGGAAGAAAATCTGCAAGTGCATGAGGTTAATGAAAAAAATATTAGCGGAGGCGTTGTGATACCTTTTGGATTTTGACACCTTTTTACACAAGACTGCATCTTTTGACACGTGCTTTCACTAAAGTGCATTTTTTAAAATGCCTTTCACACAAACATGCAAGTGCATACAGGCAACACTCATCAGCCACGCAGTTCTTAATTTAAAGGACCCAACTTAATGCTGCGATTTTACTTATTTCTTTTAAATAGATTTAATATATGTATACGAGGGTTGATCCAAAAGTTCGTGGGATTTCTTCATATTTTATTTATTATTCAGTGGAATTAGTTGCAAATTACCAATGAAAATATAGACACTTGGTGAATATTTTAAATTAAATAACATTTTAAATATCTTCGATAGTATCTTTATGGCAGTTGCCATAGAAACGGTGGTTTGGAAATGCGGGGGAGACATTAACGCGTTTATTATCATTTAAATTCTTAATTCATGAAATAAGAATTAAATCGCCCTATGTGGTATATAAAACGAAAATTATGTCATTATTACGATTGCTTGATCTTTTATAAACCTTTGTGTGAGAGTTTTATTGATTTTACTGGATATTTAGTTTATAAGTTGATGATTTATTGCTCATCTTTAAGTTGTTAGAGAACGTCAAATTTCGGTCAAGTCACACGTTTTGTGAAAATCTCGGGATCAGTCTATCTTAAACGCGTATATTATTGACAAAGGCTTGGGAAAAATGCATTTAGTTACTGGTTTTCCAGTGGCATAAGAAATTTAAGAAAAACAG